AGCCTATCATGCTATCATGACCCTCTTTTTTTTTTTTAATTGGAGATTGAATCCACAGCCTTTATATTGAACTGCATTCCCAGCCCTTTTCTGATTTTGAGATAGGGTGTCACAAAGTCATTGAGTTATTCAGGCTGGGCCCAAACCTGTAATCTTCTTGACTTAGCCAGAATTCCGAGATTACATGTGTGCTGCCACATCTGGCTTTCATGCCCATCTTTCATTTAAAAACATCTAGTTTTCATCTCCTTTCTCAGATTGCAAACCTTCTGGAATCAGGTTTGACTATTAAACAATACACTTCAATTTATATTGACTAATCATTTTGATTTTGCAGGTATTGCTTAGGATGAATGTGATTTGGAGAAGCTATATTTGCAATATAAGACTAAGAAAGGTGCCATTCAGATGCCAAAGTGGTAACCATCCAGTGGCTCCCCTGGGGTCAAGAATTTTAACTGACCCAGCCAAAGTTTTTGAACACAACATGTGGTAAGTTTCCTTTTTAGGTCTGTTTCTTTTTTTTTTTTTTTTTTTTTTTTAATCCTGCCTCGGGTTTATTTGTACAAAGAGCACAGGAGGACACCAGCCCCCCACAGATGGCACCCCAGTCCTTCTGTTTTTACATCAGCAGTAAGAGGCTTTCACTGTGGAGTCTTCACAGGGGCCTGAGCACCTTTGGGAGCCTGGGCTGGAGCAGAAGCTGGAGCCTGGGCCTTGGCTGGAGCAGAAGCTGGAGCCTCAGCCTTGGCTGGAGCCTGGGCCTTTGGCCGGCAAGCCCTGCGACCCTTGGCAATGCGGGCACGGATACACTTCCCAAGCTTGGGGTGGGCAATATAGGCAAGTCGAGCGAGCCTGCGGTTTACTCCCTTTGGAATGATCTTGGGCTTGACCTCCTTGGGCTTGACGAGGGCCTTGATAGCCTCGGCGCGTGCACTCATGGCCTTGGCATTGTTTGCTTGCATCTTCTTGAAGCCCTTCTTGTTGTGCTTCTTGGCAAAACGCATGTTCCTAAGGAACTTGGGATCCACCCCCTTCAGAGATTCGTATCTTTGTGACCGAGGTTTCTTGATGTCATTTCTGTGCCATTTTTGGGACTGGTTGTGCGTGGTGTGGTTCTTGGACTTGGCCATAACTGCACTGTAAACCGCGGCGACCTTAGGTCTGTTTCTTAAATATCGCTAGTGGTATTATTTTCATTTTGTACCATATTATCATTTACATAATAAATAGGATAGTTTGCCTTTAAAAAAGAAAACATTTCTGGAGATTGGTGAAAGATAAGGTTGGAATGATAGACTAGATGTAGCGATAGGAGCAAGGTTGTATGTGGTCTTGTATTCATGGTTGATGTACCAGGCACTTCAGAGCCACTGTGGTAAAGTGACATTACACATAATACAGAAAGTGTGTGTATTTGGCACTGGACAAGTCAGCAGGGATAACTACGAAGGTGCCAGTGAGAGACTATAAGCAGAAAATAGAGCTTGCTGCTTGTATAGAATGAAAGAAAAGAAAGAATTTGACTCTGAAGTTTTGAACTGAGATCACTGACAGAAAAATCAAGTTTTGGGGGTTTTTTTTGAAGACAGATTTAGTTATAGATATTTTGAATAGGCTTTGAGAGCAGGGCATTCAAGCAAAACTGTCTAAGAAATAGATATGCAGGGTGTCAAAGCAGAAGATACAAGTTGGATGTAATATCGACAGCCAAAACTCAATCAGACTTTGGAGCAGGGTTGGGAAAGTGATGTTTTGATTCTTGTTTTAATTGCAACAGATTATCATTTTAAAAAGGAAATAGTTTGATCTTTTATTAATTAGTCCTATTGTACAAACCACAAGTGGTTTTGGAATACTTAAAATGTGGTTAGAATGCATGAAGATGTGCCACTGGATTTTGAAGCCAGTACAAAATAAATAAAATATCACTAATTTTTGTATTGAATTTCATCTTGAAATGAGTGAAATTTTTGATATATTGAGCTAAATAAAATACATTATTAAAATGAATTTTACTGGGGCTGGAGAGATAGCTCGGCAGTCTGAGCGCCAGCCTGGCAAGCACAAGACCTGGGTTTGATCCCCAGTACTGTATGATGTGCCAACCATGGAACCCCAGGCACCCCATGCTGGCCACTGAAACCTGGCATGGTGGTATACGCCTGTAATCCCAGGGCTAGGGAGGCTGAAACAGGAGGATCACCATGAGTCTGAGCTGCATAGTGAGATCCTGTACCAAATAAATAATTAAATAAATAAAATACTGTTTTTTAAATTTCAAAATGAATTTTACCTTATCACTGTGGCCAGTAGAAAAGTGTAAATTAGTTACATATGTGACTCACATTACACTTTTTTGAAATTAAAAAAAAAGTAAACCATTTTAACAACAGTCACCAATTTGGACAATTGTTGCAGGCTTTGAGAAGAAATGGGCTCTTTGCCAGGCAATGAAATCTCCAGAGAAACTTCTGGTCCTAGGCAGGCTCTGTTTTTTCTTCATTTATGCTAGTGATTTAGCTGTTCTTTTTTCCATCTGCTTTCACCACTCTTTTCCTTGAGCTTCTCAATGATTTAAGTCCCAGCTTGTCATAGACTTCCAGGAAGGCAAGAGCTTTTTGGTCCCGCACTTCTTAAACACTCAGGAGTAGCCTTGGGCAGGCTGCAGGGGAACGCTGTGGGGGCTTACTGTTCAGTGGGTCTGGAGATATGGCCTGGGAATTTTTAATTTGAAAAGCGTTAGGTAGTTCTCATGAGCAGCCAGGTTTAAGAACACTTGATGTAGTCCAGTGGCTTTCAGACTTTGCTTTAGCAGCAGAACTTTCTTCAGGTGAACTTTTAATATGAAATCTCAATATTTAAAGAAGAAAACCTGCCAGAATCATGGCAGATGTAGTGGCCTGAGACATCAATAGCTCTACTTCCTTTTCTTTTCCTTTGTCTCCTCGGATACTCTAGTAGCCCAGAGGACCTGTAGGCCCTATTCATCACAGGTTGAGAAACCGTGGTCTATCTAGACAGCCATCCTCCTCCATCACCTACACCCAGGCCTTCAATGGGACCACTGGAATATCTCTGGTGACCTCTCCCCCTTGGCACTTACCTGCTGTAAAAACAACAATAAAAATAATTCCTGCAAGGGTAAATCAAAGTGATTACTTCACATCATTTGTTCATACATCCTGATTTTTTTTTTTTTTGTCCCTTGACCTTTTTTATCTTTTAGAGAAAATGTGTTACAAAGGTTATAAGTTTAACTCTTTCCTTCAAGTCCAGAGTTCTAAAAATACTCATTTTTTCTTACTGTTGTCTTTATATTTAAGAATATTTCCTCTCTTGCTGAAATGTTTTTTTTTTTTTTTTTTTTAAAGAGGTCGTGGGGGGCTGGAGAGATGGCTCAGTGGTCTAAAGCACCTACTTGGAACTAGCTTGGCAAAGCATCAGGGACCGCGGTTCAATCCCCCAGCACCACATGTCAGCCAGCCCCGCCCCCTGGTGGGCTGAGCTGGCCACACACCTCTCTCTCTCTCTCTCTCTCTCTCTCTCTCTCTCTCTCTCTCTCTCTCAAATAAATTAAAAAAAAATTAAAAAAAATTAAAGAGGTCTTGGGTTATTTATGTGTGTGGGGGGGGGCAGCTCAGCCCACCAGGGGGCAGGGCTGGCTGGCATGTAGTGCTGGGGGATTGAACCGCGGTCCCTGTGCTTTGCTAAACTTGTTCCAAGTAGGTGCTTTAGACCACTGAGCCATCTCACCAGCCCTGAAATGGGTTTTTAAAAAAAGGTGTTTGTAGAAAAGTACGCCAGTTTTTTTTCTCAGAGATGTTGCTGAGAATTGTCTGTAGTACACCAGATGTAGTGGCACATGACTATAATTCCAGCACTCTGAGACTGAGGCAAGAGGATCGCAAGGTCCAGCCCAGCCTCAGTAACTTAGCGAGTTCCTGTCTCAAAATTAAAAAAAATAATTAAAAAGGACTGGGGTGTGACTGAGGGCAAAGGCCTTAAGTTCAATTCCCATTATTGCAAAAGAAAAAAGTTGTATACAGTTCACGTTTCCATTTAGCCTCTAATTAGTAAGGATGTTTTATTCTTTATAGGACCCATTTAAAATTGTTAACGTTTCTTCTATTCACTTTCTAATACTATTTTGAAAAAGACTTCCCTTTCAGGTTATATGTATATAAAATGTATTACTTACATCTACCTAAACTCATGTTTTAATACTTTAGTTAAGTGAACTTTACATAACAAAAATAATCATTTTAAAGCAAACAATTCCATGGCATTCACTACATTTAGTTTTATGCTTTCAGCCCCTTTGCCTAATTTACAAAAAATTTCTATCCAAAGTGAAACCACTGTCTGGACACTGTGGCACACACCTGTAAATATCCAACACTCAGGAGACTAAGGTAGGATAATCACCATGAATTCAAGCCTACCCTGAGCTGTACAGTGAGCGCAAGGCCAGCCTGACCATCTCAAAAACAAGGTGAAACTGCTCATCAATAAAGTCCCCATTCCTCTAGCAATTACTGTTTCATTTCTTTTTCTTTTCTTTCTTTCTTTTCTTTTTTTTTTTTTTTTGCAGAACTGGGGATTGAACTCAGGCCCTTGTGCTTGCCAGGGAAGCACTTATTCTACTGAGCTATCTCCCTGACCCTTATTTTTGTCCTGTTTCATTTCTTTTTTTTTGTACTTATTTATTTTATTTTATTTTTCCATAATTTTATTGAAAAACAAATAGCAATGAGACAGTTTCAAATCAAATTGGTAGGACAGTTTCAATAATTAATACATTCTTCCTGATGGTTAATTGCTGTACAAGATACGGACATGATATTCTATTTACAAACACCATTAGAAAAAATCACTCTATTCATTAAGAGAATGTAAGTGTATATCTATCCTAACCACTTTGAAAACACAGATACAAAATGGATATTTATTTGTATCCCCTTTTTTTGGTTAAGTTCCATCATTTAAATATTATAGGTGTGTAAACTCAGCAAAATATTCTAAAAGAGTTCAGTAGTCCATAATAGTATTGGGTCTTCTGCTTCACTGGCAATGTCAGAAACTGTTTCATTTTTTTTTTTTTAATAGCTCAGCAGAGTTGTTGTTGTTGTTGTTTTTTTTTTATTTGATGGAACCAAGGATTGAACGCAGGGCTTTGTGCTTGCCAGGGAAGTGCTTATTCTACTGAGCCATCTCCCTGGCCCCTCCAGCAATTACTACTCTTTGTTCTATCTCTGTGGATTTCACTATTCTGGATACATATTTCATATAAATGGAACATACAATATGTAACCTTTTGTGTCCGGCTTTTTCACAGTGTCATATTTTTGGAGGATCATTCACCTTGCAGCATGTATCATACTTTCTTTTATCTAGCAGAATAATATTTCCTTGTTTATGTATACCACAGTTGGTTTATTCATCCACTGAAGGCACTTGGGCTCTTCCCACCTTTTGGATTCTGTGAGTAA